GAAAATCCATGTAATATTATGTAGGGTTAAATGTGTTTGTGGTCCTTCTAAATATTGCAAATTTTGTTACTAATCCCTCAAAAAATTTCTTTAAAAAATGATCATCATAGAGTTTTCCGTCCACACTTTTGATTCATATTGTCTATTTGATTTAACACAAGCCGACGTGGCACACCATGTTATTTTAAATCAACATCTTAGTTGACTGCAGAAGAATGCATGAAATTGCAAAGGTCTTTAACCTCTTTAATTAATCCAAAAACTATATCTTCACCATGGTTGTCTCATATACTGCTACCTGCAAAAGCAATGGACAATGATTACATGTAAGATTTATTTTGGTAAAAAAACTCTTTATCCCTTTTTATTATGTTGGATACTCTTCATTACTAGAAATACACAGATTACCTGCGGAAAGAATTCCGCAGCTATACCTGTGATTTCACCTTTATATTGTGTAACATTGATTCCTACGAAAACCGTAGTAGCAGCAAATTTCGCAGGAATTCTTGAGACTTTACCATGTTAAATTTAAAAATAAATTAAAAATTTCCTGCGGATTTAACTGCGATTTCCATCGCAGGAATTTATTGCCCATTGAAATCACAAAATTCTCTGGAAATATCGCAGGAATTGCTGCGAGATTTACTGCGAAATTTGCTTTAAACTTTTCTGCGACTTTAGATGCGAATTTGTTAATTTATTTTTAGTTTTTCTATTTTTACGATTAATAAATAAAATTATAAAAGACATATTGATGTTGTTCACACATTTTTTAATTTTATATTAAATCTTTAAGAAAATTTTATAATATTAATTGAGTTTTTTTAGTTATTTCTTAACAAAGATTTATTTATTTAATATTTTTTTATTGTTGTAAAAATTAGAAAAATAAAAAAATATAAGTTTGATATAATTGATTTGTAATCCTTCAACTTATAAATTTTTTAAAATTTAAAATTTAAAAAGACTATAAAATGGTCATTGCATCGTACCATTTTTTAGAAAACACAAATATGAAAATTGATTTTTGTTTAGTAATTGAAAGTGAAAATGTCTCAACATATTCTTGACTTATTAAATATTTATTTTTATTTTAAAAAAGATATTAGTAGGACATACTAAATAACATTATACGTGGCATCTCAAGTGTTTGGATTAATTTTTTATTTATTTACTTTTTATTTATGTTGTTTTTATTTTATTTTATGACCAATAATTAAAAAAATTGGACATACTAAAATCTACCTTGTAGTTTACATAAAATCTAAAAACACTAATTCCATTTAACAAACATTTTTGGTCTACATAAAATTAATAATTTATTAAGCATTGTAAAATATGTAATATTGATACAAAACACAACAAGAATCAAATATGTTCAAAAAAACAAAAATATTTAGTAAAACGATGAGATGGAGTCTTAGTGTGATAATGTTGATTTGCGATGCGACTCCGTAACGTGTATCTCAAAGTTAATAACAAAAAAATAAGAATTAAAAGTAGTGAGATGAACGTACATTGACACAATTGCACATTTTTCTTATTGAACTTATGACTCAGAGTAAAATCAATTGGTCGAATAATATTTTTTTCTAAACTAAAAAAGAGTTTAAAATTTTAATAACATTAAAAAATAAAGTTATTAAACATGATTTTTTTATATTTTTTAATCCTAAAAAATAAATTTTAATAATTTTAACACATGATTTTTTTTAATCTTAAAAGTAGATTTTTTTTTTCAGATTTTACAAATTAATTAAAATATCTTTTAAATAAGTGGTAATTTTTTTTAGCTATTGTGAATCTTAAATAATTCACTATATTAGTAAAAATAAAACAAAAGGAAAAATCTAATAAAGCTATAAAAAAAAAAGAATTTCATTCTCACGATGGGTCTAGTTTAACGACATGGTTCCCATTCGCTATTCAGTCCAATCTCCTTCCACGCCATTATTTTGCGGTTCAATCCAAGCATCAATGATTTTCGCAATGAATCCACTCTTCAATTATCTCTTGGCTTCAGTATCTCTTCACCCAGATTTCAACGATTCTCAAATCAAATCTAACACAACTTGTTTTCACAAACATCTGACTAATTGAGCTTCATTTTTCGGTACTAAATCGTAAGGTGTTGGTTGATTTTGTTTATTTTTCTCAACTCGCTGAATTCTTGTTGTGTTTGTTGTTTCTTCAATTTTAGGTTTGTTTTGTAATTTGTGTTGTTGTTGTAGTGGTTGAAAAGCATGTGGAAATTGAAGAATTTTTCAGTTTCAGGTATTCTCTATTTCTTTCTCATTTTGGGCTTGCTTTCTCTTTCATTTTATGTGTAATCCATATTTCTCTTAATGTATTATATTCACCATGATACAAATTGAAAACTGGGAAGAAAAAAATGTAAAGTGCACATGAAATGTTTGACATAAGTTCTGTACTAGATTCTTCCATGTTGTTGAATTAAAGTTTCACAGGTTATATCTAATTAGTTGGTTAGTAACTTATAAGTTACTTCTATTTTTTTAGAATCGGAAAATTGGTAATTGTCCTCTTTGGTTTCAAATTTATGTTTGATGTTTCATGATATAAAGCACTTAGACATAAAGAGACTGTAAAATCGTTTAAAAGTGTTCTTAATCTGCAACTTTCTCATACTTTAACTTATAATGTACAAGTTAGATCTACTGTGCCAACAAACCTTCCTATTGTCAATGAAGTCTTTAATAGCTCGAGAACTACGCAGCTACCACATACTTGTCCGCTTGCTAGAATAAGACCTCTTGTTGGAAGGTATGTGCCACCTAAAGTTGTTGATGTTCGGGTGCCACTTTTGCATTTGTCAAATTTCCAAATTAATGATTTTTCTGATCTTTTAGCAAAAAGCTTTGGAATCATGGTTCTCATTCTCTCTACTGAGAGTGCTAGAAAGTGGCAAGATCGAGAGTTGGAGCTTGTCGATGTTGTTGCAGATCAGGTTCGTTTGATTTCCTTTATTATACTGGTTTGTGTTTTATTTGTACATTGTTTATTCTTTAATCTTTATTTTAGTTACTTTGTATTCCTTTACCGTTGATTGATTGCTTAAACCGTCATATTCATTGTCGTTGGTGCCTGGAAGTTCTGTTCTGACTATAATTGTGAACATGTTTTAGAATTTGGGGCATAGAATTTGCAAACACCCATTTGAGTTCCTCGTTGTTCATCGCACACTTGATGGAAGGTAATAATGTGATAGGAATGGATCGGATCCCACAAATGATGATGGGAATGTGTTAGTTAATAGAGATATTATTGTACCTAAACAATGGAGGGTATATGTGAGAAAGAATAGAAAACTCCACAAATAAATAGGAGTTAGTTTAGGTATTATTCTCCATATAAATAGGAGTTAGTTTAGGGATTATTCTCCATATAAAGAGGAGTGTATGGGGCAGTAGGGAGACATTAATTGATTTTCTGTTTTTGATATTAGGGTTTGGGCAGTGAGAGAATAGTTTCTCTGACTGAGGAGCAGTAGCTCTGGAATTTATTTTACTTTCACATTCATTAATAAAATACTTTTCTTTATCATATTAAATCATACCTCTGTTCTATCATAATGCTTTTCATTTTTTTATATATCTGATTCAGTTCATGCATTAGTCATCTTGTTAATATTTCTGAATTTGTTGAAAGGTTGTCACCGTGTCTATAGAATAAAACAGCCTCGTGTCTATAGAAAGCTGTTTTTTGTATTGAGAATTTGTTAGTTTAAAAGACACTGTTGTAGCAGGGTGTTTAGGAACCTTAGTGTATGTAAATCAAGTTATTGTCAATTCTAAATTTTGTTTGTTGTGTGATTTATGATATTTTCAATACTTCTTATTAATGATGTTACAACCAAGTCATTTTACTCTCACCCCATAATTGAAACATAAAACCAGAATCTTATTCTTAAGTTGAATCATAAATAATTCATTAATATTGTTTATGGAGTTATAAATTGCTTTTGTCATCTTATAGTAAAATGTAAAGGTAATAACATGTTTCTTTTCTATTTGAATTTCAGGTGTTGGCACTTATAGTAGATACTAAAGTTGAATTAAATTTCTAAGGTCTTTGTTGAAAGAGAAGTCTATTCAGCTTTATCATGCATTTCCACTTTCTTAAGAACTGCCAGTGTTGTAGTTGAAATGCAGGTACATAATTGTTTTATTTTTCAGCCATTCTAAGATTAATTGGGCGAAACTTTCCTTGTTTCTTAATTTGTATAGCCAAATTTTATCTTTGCTTGATTTTTTAGTTACACTGTATGATATTCATTAGTTCAGTCCCGGTAAACATTCTAGGTATGATCTGACGTGCTTGATGATTGAGAGTGAAGGAGTCGTAACAGAAGTAACGGTGCGACTTCAGAAAATTCCTCAATTTTCAGTGGTACATTGATTCTCTCTTTTTTACTTTTGGATACCTTTCGCTGAGTTTGATCTTATAAACTGAAATTTATTATTATCATCAATTTATGAAATCTAAATGTGATGCTCACTTGTTACATAATTCGATTGAAACTCATTGAAAATAATGATTTAGTTCTCATAGATTTATTTAAGGTTATTCTGTTTACAAGATTTGTTAGTTTCAGTACTAAGAATGGTACTTGTTCCCTCTCCCATAGAAGCAACACATCTCAGAAATCAGTGCTTATGTTCTTTCTAGTATAACCTATGGAAATTGAAATTCATTGATGAAAATTCCATGTTTATTGATTATGAATGTCAGTTAGATGTGAATTCTAATTTTATGAAATGCAAGGTGCTGATTTTGAATTGTTTGAATGTTTTTGTGTGTAAGAAGGAAACATCATGTCTTGATGTCTTGAAATTCAAAAATATGTTATGATGTATGGTTGTGACTTTGGAAATGACTTAAAAGAAGTTACTCACTGTGTGTGTACAGGAAGACAAGATGGATTTTAGAATCAAATGATAGTGCTTATGGTCCTAATTACGAGGACTTACAATCAGATGAAAGGTGACTTTAAAATTTCGGAAAGTTACGCCAAGGAACTTCCTCTACACTTTCAAGAAAACATCAGAGATTTCTATCTGTTGATTGTAAGAATGTCAAAGACAATACTTAGTTCGGATCCAGTAAAAGAGTGTCGGGTAAGAATGCTTGTACTTTTTGAATATAAGTCTTACAAAGATTTCTATCTTATTTGTTTAAGTTTATATTTCAGCTTAACAGGACAAAGATTTCTACCTTTGAATATAATGAAGTCATTTTGGTCCATCATAGTGATGTCATACTGCTGCACTGCAGCAATTTAAGTTATTAACCTTTTGATATACTACAGGATGATTCATACATTGAAAGCTACATAAGCACTATTGGAGTTGATTTTGTGAGTACAACATTTCAATTTTTTTTAGCTTGAACACATTTGAAACTGTGTCTTGATATTGAATTTAAAATATCATGTTCTTTTGTGTAGAAAATACGAACTGTTGAGCAGGATGGGAAGACAATTAAACTACAGATTGTATGTATCTGAGATTAATTTTGTTTTGCTTTCTTTATTTGCAATAATATTATAATCTCAGTAAACCTAATATAATACCACTATGTTTTAATCTTTCATAGAAGATATTTTTACCTTTGAGGTACTTTTTTCGTCATTGTAATTTTTATTTATAAGATCATACTGAGTTCCCAGGCCATATGGGTCACTGAAGTTCAAGGTTGAAGATTGTATTGACAGATTTTTTTACTTACCTTGTTTTACAATATGTTCTTGTAGTGGGATATCGCCGGACAAGAACGATTTAGGACAATAACCAGTAGCTACTATCGTGGGGCACATGGAATCATTGTGAGTAATTTTTTTTTCAACATTAGAGTTTAAACACGGAATACTCCTCTGCTGGTTTCCGGATATCATTACATTTTCTAATAACTTGTTCCTTTGGCAGATTGTTTATGATGTGACAGATGAAGAGAGCTTCAATAATGTGAAGCAGTGGCTCAGTGAAATTGACCGCTATGCTAGTGATAATGTTAACAAGCTTTTGGTTGGAAACAAGAGTGATCTGACAGCAAATAGAGTTGTATCATATGATACAGCCAAAGTATAACTTTTTTTTTATCTCACGTTCTTTTCTTATGAAGGAAATACTATTTATTGTGTGTTTCTCTTTACCCTGGATTATGTTCATCTTCTGCTCCAGAACCCTCATGCTACCTTTTTTCTGTTGTATTACAGGAATTTGCAGATCAAATTGGCATACCTTTTATGGAAACAAGTGCAAAAAATGCTACAAATGTGGAAGGGGTATTGATGGCCATGGCTGCTGCCATCAAGGATAGGTGCCCATTTTTCCTATTTTCTATTTAATGCAACTTGTCCTTTTAAGTAGGCTCAGGCATAAGTTATTTTCCAATTTCCAGAAAAAATTACTAAACTTCTTTACCATACCAATATTCTAAGTTGCAGTAGTAGTCTACTTCACATTTTCAGTTGCCAAAGCTAGAAAATATAGTTTTGTTTTTAATTGTGAACTTATTCATAACTGTTAAGAATATTAACAGTACATTTGCTAAAACTAATGGCTGCTGTTTTTTGAGCTTGATTTTCAATTTTTTTTCCATGTTACTTTTGAAAAGTACTATGACATTTCCACTATTGAACATTTATTTATCATCTTGTTCTTCCATTGTTTCCTTTCAAGCATGTTTTGTAATGGTAAATTTATCTTGAATGTAGAATGGTGAGCCAACCATCCGCAAACAATGCAAGGCCTCCAACAGTGCAGATTACTTCAACAAAACTCGAAACAAGATGTCGGTAGCGTAGAAAGCCAGTCAATTGTAAGATGCACTTCCTTGATATTCTAATCAGTTATATCTTATTGTTTGAACAATTTATCATATATTTCAATGTTGCAGGATCCAGTGAGTACATTAGTCTGCATGGAGGAAATCTCTCCATTATAAAATGGAGTTTCTAAGCTTGGTACTTGTTGCACCCCAAAATTTGACCAACCGGTTCCCATATCTGACTTATGTTTCGACGCATTTTGCATTCGCATACGCATACTGCATGCATTGCATTTTTCTCAGTCAGATCGATTTTGCCGGGATTGCAGCCCCTGGCGTTTCAGGCAGTCCAGGCCGATTTGAATAAATGTATTTTGAGAATTGGTGCTTGTTCCCTGTGTTTCAGGCCACCTCAATGCCCGGGTTTCGTTATGGTTGCACAATTGTTCTCCAATCGATTTAATTGGCTTCTTGGTATTTTTAGTTTTTCTCTCTTGTTTTCTAGATTTTTACTGCATTTTAATAGATTTTAATAGGTTCTTTTTTTTTTAATAGACTTTTTTTTATATAGAATTTAATAGATGTTGAGTTTTTTTAAAATAGATATTCTTTTCTTTTTTAGATTTAATAGAGTTTTAGCCTACTAGATATTAGTTGTTATCATTAAATGGAATAGTTTAAGATAGTTTTTAATTGGTCCTTTTAGATTTTTAAATGGTCTTTTAATATAGAGTTTAATAGATTTTTAGATATTACTAGTTTTTTAATATAGTTTTAGTATAATAGAATAATATAGATTTTATAATAATGCTAGATTAGGTTTTAATGAATTGATTTTATAATTTAGTATAGATTTTAATAGAGTCTTATTGATTTTTATAGATTTAATTAGGATTTTAAATAGATTTTTAGATATTAAATATCTTTTTCTGTTTTAAATAGGATAATTAGGGTTAATTTCGTCTTTTTAGGAGTTAATTAGGATTTATTGTTATTAATTTCGTTTTGTGTCTAGGGACTAATTAGGTTTGTGAGTTTAAGTCAAGTGATCATCAATTAATCATGTTTAATGCACTAATCAAAGTCATTAAGTCTTAGTGGGCCATTAAGTCCAGTTATCCAAATCTCAGAGGCCCAGGTCTGAATTGCCAAGTGGCATATATAAGCAGCCCCACGTGTATTCTTCAAGAGCTAGCCACCTTATTTCCACCACCTCACAGAATTCTGACAACTCACCGCTTTCCCCTGCCAGCGCACGTTTCCACTTTCACTCCCTCCACACGCGTCCTCCCTGCATACCTTATCTGTGATCCACGTGTCTCCCCCTCAATCTCTCTGGCCCCACGCGTATCTCTCTCCCTTCTTCTCACTGCCACGCGTCCCACCAACGGATTCCCACCGCCGGCCATGCAAAACTCACTGGACCACCGCGTCTCCTCTACAACTGTTGCCGGAATCTGCTAACCTCGCCGGAAAACTCATCAGATTCTCCATTTTTTCCAGATTACTGCAAATCACCAAGAACATCATCGTGTTCTTCATCTTGATCTTCATCAGCATCACTCATTAATCATCCAGATTCGCCAGAAAATCAACTACATTCCCAGATCATTCATCATCTTCATCTAGTTCGTCATTCTCCAGATTCATCAACAATTCCATCAGTTCAACGATCTCGTCATCGGTAATCAACATTATCGTTCGTTCATAGTTTTTCCAGAAGCCATCCAAACAAGATCAAGAACCTTCAACAAATATTAACATCGTTCGCCATCACCTTCGTCATCTGTTCCTCGACGTCTCCAGAAATTCTTTGCAAGAACTTCATCAAGTTAATCGTAACTGATTCTCCGATCTTCAACATCGTCAAATCCACTTCATTCTTCGTCAAGATCTTCAGAGCTTCAAGACCGTCCTCAAACATCATCAAGTTCGTTGATCTTCATCTGTTCATCGTAAGAGCTCCATCAACATCGTGGATCTTCAAACGTCCACGAAGAACTCTCCAGAAGTTGATCCTTCAAATTCTTCGCAAGCTCCACCATCTTCATCATTTTTCCAGGTTTTCTTCTTCGCTCAGAACTTGTTAGGATACAATTTGTTAGATGAAGAATTAGACTGTGGAGTGTTAGTTTGTTGATAGAATTAGGTTAGAGGTTAGGGTTTGATTTAGGGTGTTAGTCTGGTTGCAGTTGTGTGATTGGGAGAATGGGGAAACGGCGTTAGGGTTGGGAGAGTGATAGTGAACAGTGACAGAGGGAGTGAAGATTAGGGTTTGTTGTTAAGCTGGGTGGAACTGGACTCGGGCTCAGGCCCATTAGGGGATTGCTAACCGTCTCCCCCATGTTTTCCCAGTCGCACCCCCTCTCCCACATGTTTCGTTTTGGGCCTTAGCCCAGTTTGCTGTTTACACCCCCCAGTTTAGGGCCCAGTATGAATAACAAAGCGAATAGTTGCTATTCGCCCCCCCCCCCCCCCCAGTGGTATTTTCCTTGGTTTTTTTAATGTTTTTTTTTGAAGCAGTATGGGCCTAGTGCGTTTTGCTGACTGCACCCCCTCCTGGCCCCATTGTACTTCTGCATTGTAAATAATTGCTATTTGCCACGCGTTATTTTTCATTTTTATTGATCTTCATTTTTATTTCATGTTTGCATATAGGAATGAAATAAATCATAATAAATTCAAAAATAGTCATTTTTACATGGGATTTTTTTACTCATTTTCATTAATGTCTCAAGAAAATCATAAAAAAATAAAATTAGTATTTTAGTCATTTTTCTATTTCTGGTGATTTTTTACAATTTAGTTGCTTTTATTGCGTTTTAGTTTGTATATCCATTTTGTCGAATTTTGTTTAGCCATTTCCTTTCATATTTTGATGTGATTCTTTTTGCTATGCTTAGAGGATGGTATTAGGTTCCCTTAGAGATTTATCTCACATTTTTTTGATTTAATCTTGATTAGTTTTGAATAAAGAACATTAGGGTGACTAGAATTAGGGTTAAACTTGACATAGGTGCATCATAACACTTAGATTTTGGGTTTTTAGCTTGAATTAGGAGCTGGGAAATATAGGGTATGTAGGGTAGATGTATAAATCCCCTTAGAATTAATTTTAGGTTTTTAAATAATATACTACTATTTTACTTGACTTTTGTAAATAGTGTGTTTGTTTGGTCTGGCCATTGTGAGCTTTTGTATTGTTTGCTTGGGGTTGGGCTTTGCTATGGGGTATGGGGCTTGGATTGGGCTTGTGGAGCATGAAAGAACATAGGAGAAGATTGACTGCAAAGATCAAAGTTGGATGCATGAAGATTCTTGTGCTTGAAGCCCTCAAGGCGCAAACACTGGCTAATTTCGTTGCAGCTGTCGTACCCCAAATTTCACCCTTAGATTCACTGATCATTCGCATATCATCTAGGTCATCATCCCTACATGGCTAACCATTTCACCTAGTTTTTGTTTGTTTTGTAGGCTTACGGAAGAAAGTCTGAAAGTCATGAACCCTGTGTGCATGCCCATCCAGATTCTACTTTTCTACAAGTTATATTGAATTTATGTGAATGTAAACGAAGGATACTCTTATCATTATGGTCCCATGGTCGAGACAAAGTCAAGTTTTCCTCAAGAATTTCAGAGGTTTCACAAGGAGAATTCGGAGATCCAGCTCGTTGGCTTCAAAAGGAGTTATTTAAGAGCTAAATGGAATTTTACGGTGGATAACGATACAAATGTTCAAAATTGCAAGTTTGGATAAAAAAATTTGGATCAAATTTCTGCTACAACAGTTCAAAGAGATATTTAAATTCAAGGATTCATTTCCTACTAAGTTGCAATTTTAAATTCAAGATTTAGTGCTAAAAAAAATTGGAGTCCAATTGCAAATTCAAGAAAGAAAAGAAAGTTACAGCTCATGTCATAAAGGAGATCAACTCGAGTTGAAACTATTCAAGAAGTTTTAAGGAATTTCAAACATAGTTAGCTTTAAGAAGTTCAAGTATCATACCATTTGGGTTCTCAAGTTCACAACTTGGATGAAAGTTCAAGGTGCATGTTCTTACAAGGCCAAGTCAATATTCAAGTTCAAAACCCAATCAAAAAAAATTCCTTATTTTGGATTTAGGTGATTAAAGCTCAAGACCTATGTTCCCATGGATCCGTTGCTTAATTCGAATTTCAATTTAATACTTTTGGGTTCATGGATTGCCATACAAGTTTCAAGAAATATTTCGAAACTTTTGTTTAACATCATGTTCATGATAGAGCAATGGCATGTCAAAAGATGTTCAAAATCCAAGATTTACTTGCCATTTTTCACACAAATATTGCCTTACAAGATGTACTAAGTTCAAAGTATTTCCAAAATTTCAATACAAGATTAATGCCATAGTTACATGAGCAAGGATTTCAATCCAAGGTAAAAGTTTAAAAACAAAGAAGACTATTTTGGATATTAAAAAGTTATCATTTAAATTCAAAATCCGAATCAAGCTAAGTTTACAAGGTCATCCACATACAAAATGGTCTGCAAGTTCACATGATTCTTAAACCTCAAAATGATCAAAAACCATTACAATGTACACAAATCCAAGTCCTAAATCTTCACATTAAGATGCAAACGAGAGGTGAGGATGAACTACACCACGCGGAATCCCCTTCATAGTTGTAAAACTGTGTCGAAATGGTTGAGCTGTTTTTTGGAAAATCGTTGTCGCACTCCAAAGCCATAAAATGACATCGAAAATGTCCACAACATGATTGATAAAGTTGAGACGATGCATGGTAAACTCCAAATTGGACCAGTGCATAACATCGAATCGAACATGGCTACACCAGAGTTATGAAGTCCTCCAAAGGAGAATAAAGAGAATGAGTTTCGGCAGCATAATAAAAAGAAACCATCAAACAAGTTAACTTTCTTTCCAAAACCACAAAATAACACACTAAAAATCAAGGGATGTTTTAGGCAAATCTCCATTATCAATTGCAGTCAGAGGAAATAGGAAAGTTTCCAAACGAAATCATGTCAACT